TTTCTCAGCTTTGACATATAGTTTGATGTCAGCATATTTTTTGTTTTCTGGGAGGAAACTTGTTCATTAGTTGAGGTCTGGTTGTTTTATAAAGCAATGTGAGGAATGAGCATTTCTTCTATTTATTTCACTTCTCCCCATTTTTGAGGCACGTGCTACAATACAAAGAAACATTTAAATCATCTTCATGCTGAAAGAATGGAAATTGTTGGGAGCTCTTTGGTTGTCTAATTGTGTGACACTGTGGCTCACCAATGTCTCTCCAACATGTAGCCTTGCAAAATAGCGTGCTTTGTCTGGGGCAATGCGGGAAAGTTAGCGGGAAGCAAGTCAAGATGATCTCTTTTAGAAGAATTGAAGTGGATTAAGATTGTCTTAATCTGATTGTGAACTGCACCCCAAACGTCTTCATTTCCCTTTCTTCTTTTGTTCTCTGGGTGATCGTAGCTGTAATACCTTTGTTGATTAGGGAGCCTGAGAATATTCCGGTGTACTGCTTTGAACTGATCTAGCGTGAAGTGTCTAGCCAGTCTGTCTAGAGTAGATTTCTAATCAATATTTCTGGGAGATTTTCTTATTTCCAGTTCTTAAATGATACCCTCTGTTAAGGCATGATATCCACAACATACGATGGTAATGAGTGTGTTCCTTACAAATTCTGTATTTTCACTTATTTACTAAAGCTTTCTGGTTGGTTTCTTTTTTTCTTGTGTTTTGATATGCTTTTCTTTATGGTCTTGAAACTAGATCACAGTTATTTAATGGTAAACTCTAACAATATTATTTCTTAAATATCTGCAGTGTGTATATGCCAAAAAACTCTGCCTATCTACCTCCCATTTCATCCAGTAATGAATCCCTACTCTTTTTTCATAGTAACCAACAAAGAACTTGAGAAAAAAACACCAGGTGCTGCATTTTGAAAAGTGCTGTTTACAGTTTAGACAAAAAAATACTGTCTCTATTTATGTTGTTTGCCAATGAAAAATTATCCTCTAGTGACTGCTAGTTCCTTTCTGTTCTGGGAAATATTGTCTGGGGAAAGTGCAATTGCTTTATTGATCGAATACTGCATGATTTTAAATAGTTGTAAAAGAAGCTGACTTTTAAAGTGGAGTTAAAAGAGTTGCTCCTGAACCTGATTAGTACAGCAAGCATAGCATCAAAATGTTTTCAGCACAAACACAAGAGCTTGGAGTTCACAGGGCAAGATCATGGAGTTGTCCTAACTATGCAATGACAATAATTATGATCATTATTCATTGTATTTTAGAAAATATTAGAGCACAATGTTAGAAAAACTTACCCACGGTATGCCGGAAATGTAGGAGGAAGAGGTGGGTTTATATCTCTGAAGATTCTATGATGAATTTGTTTTTAAAAAGAAAAAAGGTGAGCATCGTCTTAATTTAGCTGTTTTAGTTGCATTTACATACATGTAGAAGGGGGTGCATGTAGTGAAGTTTGACCCTGTGGTGACTGAAAGCACATGCTCTACTGGATTGCAAAGTATGCTTCTAATATATCTTCGGAAGGAAATGTATTCTCAATTTACAGTGAGCCTTGACTAGGAAGTACAGAAAAGAAAAAAGTATTTATTTTTTTTCTCAGAAAGGGAAGAAATTTTTAAATTTCTAACTTTATTGCCAGGGCCTGAGGCAAAAAATACCCAGAGCATGTATCTACTTTACAGCTGCAAAAATAATTACATGACTACTATCTATGGAGTAATCTCTTACAGATTACATTTTGTTAGCATTTCATTGTGTGATGTTAGAGCCAAAACAATTCATACTAAATGGAGAAAAAAATACTTGTTCTGATGTATCTATGGCCTGGACCTTTGATGTCCTCCTAAGGACATTCACATTCTATTATGGATAGGTTAATTTGTGAAAGGTCTTGTTTTACAAACAAGGTGTACTATGCTTGTAAAGCTGATCTGAGACTAAGAACTGTAGAAATTACTGAAGTAATTTGTTTTTATTATGCAAGTACTGGACTTCTTTGTTGCTTCAGAGGTGCTAAAAGCCATCTGAGGTGCTATCTGATAGGCTTTCCTCTTAGATACACAAGGTCTTGGAGACTTGAAAAGCACTTATGGTTTATTGAGATCACTTCACTTGATTTTTTTTTTTAACTTAAGAGCACTTCTCTTTATATATCTCTTAGTTTGTCCGAGTGATACAATCTTCAGCAGTAATAGGAGCCTTCTTACTGATGGTCAAAACACCCCTTTTATTGTGTGACAATAGAACTGTGGTGTAGCAAATAAACTTTTATGCACTTTCATGTACTGTTGGCACTAGGAACTGCATATATGGGGTTTTTTTGTAACTTGGTGTAACTTCTGTTTCTCCTTCTTTTCTGTTCTTTAGTTTGGAGAAGTGGAAAGAAAAAAAAAAAAGGAAGTAATAATATGACTGGTGGCTCCAAGCCAGATCAAGTCTCTATTAAAGTAAATTGAGAAGATTATTTTACTTCAGCAGAAACAGTTTCAGCCCAGCCACTTACACTACATTATTTACTGTATCTGGATGGCTTGAGGGCTACTTGGGAACACAAGAAGTTGCATCATGCCTTATTCAGCATAGACTGAATAAGTATATGTAAGGTTTTCAGTGTATATGAGTAGTATTTTAATGCTCCCATAACCATAATAATTTCATGAGTCCAGCTTCGATGCATCAGTATTTAGAGGAATGTAGTAAGGAAGCTGTATGAGAATGCAGGTAAAAAGTAAGATAAGTCTTGTTGAAAGTAGAAGGCAGGCTAAAGGATTGATCTTTTACTTTTGTGAATGACTAAGAATGACATCGTTCCCCATCTAAGAACAAACAAGAGGCATGTTTTCTCAGGTTTTTGTACACCCAACAATAGGTGTATTTTTGTCTGTTTATTTTTTTTTTTAATAAACTTTCTAGACTAAGTCTGTGTGAGAGACCTAATTCATCCAAGAGAACATATTCATTCAACAGCATCTCATTGCTGTAGACTAGATTACTTCCAGGGGTCAATTCCAACCATAAATTATTCTATAATTTCTTCATTGAGTCCTATCATTCTTTTGTATTAGTTTGTATTGTTAAAGTGATAGAGACATTTTGTCCTTAATTGTCCTATTTCGGTGCATCAATATCTCCTGATTCCAGGGCATCCAGGAAGCTCAATAATTAAACTGAAATATTTGGAATGTGAGTGCTTCAGTAGGGAAGGGGATTGGTAAATTCAGATTATGTGAAATCTGCAACATACTTCAGTCTTGTTGGTACACAGATGTTCTTTGGTGCATCCAGAAATTGTATCCTCTTTCTAGAACAGTGGTAAAATGTTCTATATCTATTGCTTTGGTTCCAGTCTACATTTCTGTATCAATCTGGAGCTTTGCCTGTTGTGTATTATGTTATATTGAGCCAAGCTGGACACATATGCCTGTGACTGTAGCCACTGAGTGGTTAAGATACCAGAATGGAAAGTAGATGTACTTGAGAAGAAAAAATAGAAGACAGACCTACTGGTCATTGACAGAGCCAATAATCCTCAAAAAAAAAATCCTCCCTCCCTTCATTTTATTATATAGCATTGCAGAAAGTGGGTTTGAGAAAGGTATATCCCTCTGTCCCAAAGTAGATGACCCATTTTCCGTCAGACCATTTAAAAAGGTCTTAAAAGCATGAAAGACCTTACAGAGAGGAATGAATGGTTTGGTGGCGGTGCTGTGCCTGCCAATCTGTAAGCACACTCACATTCCTTAGCATCTAACAGTAAATCACACCTCACTTTGAAGCAGCATTAACAACCAAGCCACTATTCAGTAGCAGATGTCCATATATCTGTGGTCCGTGGCTCAGGGGATATATTTCTTGCTGCAGATTCTTGGCACTATTTACTGTTGACACAAGGTTGTTGCAGGTAGCAAGAGTGACAGATAGCTTTGTCAAAATCCTGAGAGTTCTTTGGTTGTAATGTACTTTTGCATCACTGTATCCTTTGTTCAGTCTGGATGGAGTAAGAATGTTATATTTGTTATCGTTTGAGTTATTTATATTTAGATTAAAACTAATGCCACTTACTTGACAAGACTTAGGAATGCAATTATTCTGTTAAACTGTGTCCCTGTGTAGTGGTTTGCCAAGCACAGTATGACGTGTCTACTCTCCCAAAAAGAAAAATAATCACACAGCTATTGATAAAATTCATAGTGGGTGATTGGAGGGAACTAGAGTTTCCTAGGCCTGGGCTTGGCCAAATGGTGAGGAAGAACGAATTCTAGTAATGAAGCCTCAAAAAAAATGTTTCCTTCTGTGAAAAGGTAGTAATATTGACTTCAAAGGATATGGTCCTGGCTCAGGCTAAGGGGTGACTCCCATAGATTAGGAAAGAATTTTGTTGTTGTTGTTGAAAAAGACATAAGCCAAATTGCAAAGATGAGTTTGGCTAAAGCTTCACAAATTTTTGGCTTCTTATAATGCCATCAAAGAACTAGGAAGTTTAGCTGGTTTGTTCATCTTGCCATAAATTCAGGGATAGGTGCAATCCGTACAGCCAGTGGCCAATCTTTAACCAAAAACCTTTGAGTTATTGGCAGGTTGACCTTCTGTCACAGGAAAAGAGAGGCAGAAAGCCATCTCTGCTGTGCTTCTCCCCAGGTGACGTTCTTGCTGAGCTAGAAGACACTGTGCCTTCTTCAGCTGTTGTAGAAATCCTGTGCTCACATGCTAGGCAGGCATTGTGCCAGTGCTACCAGTGAGGCAGCTCTTCTCTGCAGACTGTCCTGTCTGTGTCAGCCTTTCACCTCTGTCAGCGTTAGTCACTTGGCTTGTATATTGGAAGTTAAATATGAGTTGTATATGGGTTTTCTCTCGCCCTGTGGAGATACCAGATATCATCATGAATATTAATATAAAGTATAGGGACCATTAAATGTCAGAACAAAACACTTTGCTGTGGTATTGATGTACTGTTGGGTAACTTTTCACTTCATTTTCTTTATTCTTCAGTTCTACGGGATGACTTCCGACAAAATCCATCAGATGTAATGGTGGCCGTGGGTGAACCCGCAGTGATGGAATGTCAGCCCCCAAGAGGTCACCCAGAACCCACTATATCATGGAAAAAAGATGGGACCCCTCTAGATGACAAAGATGAAAGAATTACAGTAAGTATAAAAAGTTTTTCAAACAATGCAGAAATCAACTAATCATAAATTACTAGTCTCTTGAGCATGTGGGCATCCAGCCATGCTGTACTTTCTAGGATCTGTCCTTGCCTTGCCTCAGAGGCACAGCTAGTTTGTTTTTAGCTTGGAATGCATCCTCTGGTCTCATACTGCTTCATTGCAGGGTATGCATTTGTTTGTTAAAGAGGACCATGCAAAACATATGTTCTTCTCTTCCTCAGAGAAATTAGAACCTTGTGGAAATGCAAGTCATTATATTTGTCACTGTCCTATAATTTTCCTGCCTTTTATGCACCTACATATTTCTGCAACCTATAATATCTTCCTCCTTTGGTTGGAAAGAGGAACTCCTAGTAGTCTAGGTGAGGCCACCCTCTGTAATTCTGTTGAAAACAGTCCGTGTAGAAAAGTTGTGTGTTGTATTAGGAAGGATAAGAAGGCTTTTGGGATATAGTCACATTTTATTAGAGAGATGATGGCTTATCATGCCCTCTCTATCTGTAGCTTGCTGAATACAATGTGTGATTATTCAAGAGTATGGATAAAGCAGCTTCTCAAATCAGAAAAGTATCCTTCTTTTAATTTTTGACATGTGAAACAATAAGCTATTGAGCCAAAATGGCTCGAAGAAATGGCAGTGAAAAATGGAGTTTAAAAATCATTTATATGCTGCCAACATGGTGATACAAAACATCTTTCCATGTGGTGCAAAACTGTATAATCTGAAAGCACATACAGTACAGAATCCTGATGGTACTAGGAGGATTACCAGAGTAAAACAAGATCAGAGACACATACAATTTATATAGCTCAATTGTATGCTGAAATGAGGGAAATTTTTAATGGAAGAACACTTAAACCCCAGCAACCTAAGGAAAAAATTACCATTTTTGTTTGAGATTTAAATTGCCTGTTGTTCCGTTTGTTTTTTACAAACAAGACAAAGCTTAGGCATTCTTGAGTTGTGGCATATGCATACATTTAAATTTTTAAGTACCCTACAAACCTATACTGATTGCTAGCTATTAACTCAGTTCCTCCAATCATACTTGCTAAGAACTTGCAATTTCCTTTTCAAATATCCTTCCCACTGTGACAAGTCAATTGACCTGAGATAAAGAGAAGATTCCCGTGCCTTTTTTTGTTTTTTTTTTCTCCTTCAGGAAATGCTTTCTAAACTTGCATTTTCTATTGCTATGGTTTATTCTCTTGAAAGATTTTCAGGTGTTGCCTATTAAGTACATTTCTTTTGTTATACATGAAAACTGCTCTTCGCCCAGCTGCCAGAACAAAGATGTACCCTGAACTAAAGCAGTTCTCACTGATTGGCAGTGCTACCTGTATTTCTTAAAACTGTACTTATGATGGAATAAAGCTCTCATTTAGGTTTCCTTTTCGGGTGATTGTATCAGATACCTACATAGTGTTTTTTTCACTGTGACATCTGGTGGAGTCATCTTGCATTATCAGTTTCTGCTTCCAAAAACAAACAAATGAAAATGAGTTTTGATGTAGGTGTAGATATATACCATTTTCATGCACCCAAATGAGTGTTTGTTTTCAGAGGTGTAAATGAACATAGCTTAACTGCATTCATTTACATCCTATTTGCCTGGCATTGTCTTAAACAGCACTATTAGTATTGTGGCTGCTTTCTCACACAGGCAAGAGACCGAAGCTACATTGTAATGCAGATTTGCATCAACTTACAGCTGTAGCAGAATCTTGCCAAGTGGATAAATATACATTCAGATGTACATCTTAACAGCTTTGCAGTAACCATCTGTATTATCTTGCTAGTAGCTGGGAGGTGAGGAGAGTTTGGGACCTGGTGTCAACAAGGTGCCTAAAGAGAGAAGTGCAAAAAATATGAATTTTGAAACCTGACTTAGAATGATTTCATTTCTGTTAACTTATCTCCTTTAGGTCATTTCCATTTCAGTTTAGCAACAGGAACATAAAGAATTAAAAGAGTACAACAGCTGAAATAAGGATGAGGTTCTTGGATTTTAAGTGATAGATTTAATTTTTACATTAACTTACCTTTTTTTAAAAAAAAAGTTTTTCATTGAAGTGCATATATTAAAATGAACATCTACATTCATTTGATGGCAAAATTATCATTGACTCAGTGAGATTTCAGGTTTAAAGGGGTTACCTTCCTCTTTTTAAATCATGAAATTACCAGACCAGAAAATGTCAAACTATATGTGTTAGTGTTCAACATTTATATGATACCAGTGGGCATTTAATCAATGAAAATACTTTAGTGGCTCCACTTCTGAAGCATTTTCAGTCATTTTCATTCTTAAAGGCTTGTTGATACTTGACTCATTGCCTTTTTAAGAGTTCTGTAAGTGTCAAAGGCTGTTTAAAGCATTTCATATCAATGCTTTCCTTTCTGACCAGATTTAAATAAACAATAAGACTGTACTTTTTTGGAATTTGGGATGATGCTTGACACCTCTTCTTTGATTCATATCTATACTTTATTCAAAAAGATATTTCCATGAAACATTCTTATTTATCATATGTGGAGGCTTTTTTTTCTCATCTGCACTGGTGATGATGATCTTTGAGTCAGCAGAACTGGGCTTTACAGAACTAGTAATAACGGTGCCAGAGAAATGGAGGTGGTAGCTTGGTTTCTGAATGAGTTTGAAGAAAAATATGCAGAAGAATAGATGTTAAATAAGATCCAAGTTAAGGCACAACTTCTTCTGGAATGCAGTAAAAAGAAAACGTTATTTTGTCCTGGTAGGGTTAAGGAAATTGGTATGTTTATGTAGGTGAGATAATAAAAATCAAAGTAGTCTTTGCATATTTTTGGTCCATTTGTAGGACAAATAAATGTGCTTTGAAGAGAAATAAATTTATATGTCTTTCAGGTTATAAACAGTAGTGAATGGAAAAAATAAGAAATTAAAGTAAGGATATGGGCACAGCTATCTGTGATGGGAATTATAGAAACAGACATTTTTCTTTGAGAACAGCTCTCTCTCAGTACTGCTCAGTTTGAGCACAAGTGAGATTCGGTTTAGGCTCTTCAGTGTACGCATGTCCACTGGATGCATCTGATGAAGAGTCATCATCAAAACATTTTTTCTCTCTGCTTTTGAATATGATGTCTGTAGACAGTTTTCTCAGTGCATTGGAGCTAAACATGATTTTTCTCAGTGTACTCTTTACATCACAGCATGAAAGCACGTGCTTAATGTGGCTAATCCCTCTCCATGTATTACAAATGAAGTGGGAATGACAGTCTTGCATGTGAAGCAAATGCTTATCTTTAACTTAATTTGTTGAATTGAAAAACAATTATCATGAGGCCAGAGCAGAACTAGTATGATTCTGTGCTCATCTTGTTAATTTTTCTCCTGGGATTACTGTGGAATCAAGAATCCCTCCTATAGTATATATCGCTGAAATGGAGTGCTGCAATGCGGTCCAGTGAATAGCTCTAATTTCTCACTGCAAACAATGTAAAAATAAAGTGTATTTTTCCAGTTTCTGAAATGTTCCATCTGCACAGGAGAGTCTGTGTGACTCTCCTCTTGGAGGTGAGACACTGTGGAGAAAGAAGATGCAAAGTCTTGTCTATGAGTAAGAGAGAAGAAGACTCACTGGGGTGGGGAAGTTCATCGTTCTGCTTTCCAGCCCTTAATTGTGTTTACACATTTGGAATCGCTGTCTTGCCAGATGAACTTCATAGACTCACAGATTGCTTGGAGCAAGGATCTAGGCCAGGACTCCTTGTGAACAGATCTTCTCCCAGCCCCGTCAGTCTAGCCATCTCCTTTGCATGGCACCCCAGCGCCACTAGGATGTAGCCACGTGTTTCAGGCACTTACCTTGGCACTGAAAGCTATGAGCTTGCATTCCCTTGGGCTGAGGAGGAAGTGCAGTCAGTCTCCTAGTTTCTGCTGACTGCTGTAATCACTGGGTTTGGTCTTTCAAATGTATTTTGTCTGGATGCAGTTGGCAGGAGCATCAGTGGCATTAGCAATGACTCACTTGGGCACTCGCAGCAGTTGCAGTGAATATTGATTGCATGTAAGCTTGTGAATACCTCCAGTGTGCTTCCATTCACTTCTCAGCCATCTTCCTGTTGTAGCCCAGAACCTCCCACTACTTGTCAAATGGTATCCCCACTGCCTCCCTACTACACACCACTGCAATATGTTTTTGCACCTCATTCCACATCCATCCCTTCCATTTCACAGCCTGCCCTTGCATCCACCCAGCCTTTTTCTGCTTGTGTCCCTAGCCCTGCTCTGTCAGCTGATTAGTGCTAACTGCTTGTGTGGAGGTAACAATTTGGAAGCTCAGATAAGCAAAACCTCCTGCTGTACACTGTAATGTAAAGGCACTCTTCCTTTGGCTTTGCCGTTAATCTAAATGACTGATGTGCTGTGATTTGTGATGAATGCACAGTGTTGTCTGTCTGTGTCAGGTTTGCTCAGAGCCTCCCTTAAGGAACTGTGTTGCTGCTCCATCTTCTTTGTGAATCCCAAATACCATTGCCAGTATATAAGATGCTGACACCAGTAATCTAACCAAGATGGTGGGGCCTTTGAGCATATCTTTAGGCAAAAACTGGCAGTAATTACAGGCTTTCAGGAGCACAAAGCATTCCAAGAGGATTTTGTGAATCTCCCATCTAGACAGGGCAACCTCCATGTGCTTTTAAATCTCTCTCTCAATTTGTATCATATTTTAAGGGCAATGCCTGTATAATGAACTAAGCCTCAATAAAATCAGGATGCAGTCAGAGTGCCTGTAATTATCAATACTTTCCTAGTGGGAGAATGTGTACGTCTTGCATAAGATCTAGAGCAAGCTGATGCTTGAGCCAGATTTGTAGGTCAACATTTCACAGCTGCTTCTGTTCCTGCCCCATGACCAGTAGTAGCCCATGTTTCAGAAAGCTTCCCAATTGTTCACATGAAGTCATGGTGTAGGTGGTAGAGGAAAAAAAC